GAATAGAAAAAGAATAGAGCAAGCTAGTGTTAGAGGTCTTTTTTGCTTTTGTTAACTGTATAATGGATGGCGATGGTGCCGACGCTGATGGCTGCCTCCGTGGCGTGCTCCGCAGTTGTTTATTGTTCTATACCTGTACATACAATTGTCGGTTTGTATATTTTTTATTCCTTATTTTACTTGTTCTATTTTTTTTTTTTTTATTATCTCTGTTTTTTTGTTCTGTCACTGTCATTCTGTTACACTGTGGAAGCTTCTGTCACGAAAACAAATTCCTCGTATGTGTAAACATACCTGGCAATAAAGCTCATTCTGATTCTGATGTAAATACACTCAATCATTTTGGGGTTTTTTGGGTTTCATTATCACAGTACACAAAATTGATATGTAATATCTTAGTTCACCAAAAAATGAAAATTCTGTCATTAATTACTCACCCTCATGTCGTTTCAAACCCGTAAGACCTTCGTTCATCTTCAGAACACAAATTAAGATATTTCTGATGATTGAAGGTCTTACGGGATTGAAACGACATGAGAGAGTGTAATTAATAACAGAATTTTCATTTTTGGGTGAACTATCCCTTTAAATTTGAGCCTTTCCCGAAATTTTTGGGAAATCATTTGGATCTTGGCAGTGTCTACATTCATTTTAAGAAAAAAAGAGCAAAATGGTTGTACAGTACAATCGGAAGGACATTAATAAACAATTTAATATTTGGTTGAACTATTGTTTTAAAATATAAGAACAAAAATAGAAACACAATCACAAGATTTTACAAACTCACTGATGTGAAAACCATCTAAATAATCAACTGGAAATGGGCACATGCACACATCCACAGTTTAAAATGGGGTTACACGTATTTATAATCTCCCTTCGTGCCATTTCCCCAAAACTGGCCAACAGCCTCCACTCAGGCAGAAATAGAACCGCTGTCAGTAACATAGCATCATATTCAATTATTAAAGACGCTGATACGAGTTACTCCCTCAGCAATACATATCACTCAGACCTCATGCTGATAGCCTCCATAATGGCACTATCTAAAGATAGAAGTCGTCATTGTACAGACGGTCTCCTCTATTTCTGATCTCTGAAAATGCTCAGCTGATCTCAGATTAACAGTCAGCCGAATCACATAAAACTGATGTAATGACACTAGCTTCGCTCTTGCAGCGGGACTCACATGACTTAGACTCAGGAGACGGAGGGGAAATGTTGGACACGGCCAGGTCGCTCTTTGATTTCTTGGGCTTCTTGGGATGGATCTGCCAAGGTTTTTCATAACCCCTGGAGTCCCGTCGTGTGCCTTTGTATTCTACAAAGAGAGAAACTACTGGTAGTGATCTACATTTTCTCTATGTGCGAAACAGCTTGAAGGATTCTGAACTGTACCCACCTGAGGAGCTCTCGGCCCACAGCGCTGCAGATCCCGACAGGGTCCTCTGAATCCTGCCGGGACTCTCCTGCTTGGTTTGCAGATGGCCAATGAGGAAAGGAATGGGGTGGTCTGGTGTCTCAGTTATCAGTTTGGTCATCATCTCCTATCAGAGCCAAACAAAAAGCGATTAGAGTACAGACGTGCAGCATGTGAGTAAATGCCAGAGAACTTGTGCTAAAGTAGCACATTGTCAAGCCAGCTTGTGTCGTGCCAACCTGAATCAGCAGCGTTGGCAAGCTTTCACCATCAGGAAAACTAATTAGGTAATTGGTCAGGGAAATATTCTCACACTGATATTGAGTATTATATGAGCTATAGCATGCAAGAGGATATTGCTGGAGGCTAACTGGCAGGATGGAAGGCTAAAAATGAGATTTATGTTTTAAAAAATTGCTGGTAGGCATCATCAAAGTTAAATTTCAAATGTGTTAAGCCTTATTCGGACATGGTCAGTTTTCTAAAACAAGAGTTTTCAAACTGGGGGTCTGCAAAAGGAGTGTTAGTGGAAAGTTAGATTGTAGAATTTAAATGTTTTAATGATGAGGGGTATCTGCAGAGTTGTTAAAAGCATATTTAAGACTTTTTTTTAGTCCTGTAAGACCTGCACAAATAAAATGAACACTGTCCATACAGAACAAGCCGAATAATATAAACAGACACATTCAACTGCAAAACAGTGTAACTACAAGTTTAAGATGCTCAAGACATTTAATATACATTGTTACGTATATATGTATTATTAATATGTATTGATGTTGGTTAATGTAGTGATATACAGTATAAATACATATGAATTAGAGGTTGATCGACATTAGATTTTGCTCATATGATAATGTGTTTAAATAAAGGCGATACTGATAAAACCTATATATTGCATTTGTTAAATAATGATAGAATTGACATTATGGTTTCAGTCATTCTGTTTGGAAGTCATTACTCACAACTGTTTTATTCTAATGACAGCCCTATTTTTAATTGTATGAAACGTAAACAAAAACCTAATATTAAGTAGAAAAAAAATACTGTTAAATTAATTGAAGGTAAATATTTTCACGTTAATTAAATTAAAAAAAATTTTAAAATCTAAAATAATATAATACAAACTATTTTTTTAAGTAAACAAAAGTAAAAACAACACATTGTCAATAATATCACATGACTAACACTATTATCAAATGGGTATGCTTTATATAGTTTTGGAAGATACCTTGTAGGAGAGCATCATATTTAAGGGTTTTTCATCATATTTAAATTGTTTGAAACCAATATGATATTGCAATCACAAAAAATCCAATCCGGACAGGATCAGATTTCTGGACATTTCCACTGTGCGAAACCCAAAATGAGACTAATGTTGAAAAATACAATTAAAACAAAATGCTGGCATAAAAATTGCATTTAAAATGTGTTAAGCCTTATTCAGACGTGATTACTTTCCCAAACCAGGAGTTTCCAAACAAGGGCCGGAAAAGGGGTGCTGTAGTGGAAAACTAGGTTTTAGAATTTAGATTTTACAAAATGTGTAACAATCAGGGGAATCTGCAGAGTTCTAAAAGCAAATTTAAGACGTTTTAAATATGTTTGAAACCACTAATATACTGTAATCACAAAAAATCCAATCCGGACAAAATCAGATTTATGAGACAAAGCACCCCTCAGAAGCAATTTGCTCCGTTATTAACCAAAGTTGTGTCGAAAACAAATTTACCCTTTACCTGAAAAACAACTTTTGTCCAATTATGACTTTTTTGAGTTGTAAAAACAAAATGAGGCATTTCGTAAATAAGTCTAGTGCATGTAAAAACAACTTTTATCAGTTTCCACGTTAAGTGTAGGCCCTTGAAACAAAGCGTCAGTTCTGTGTTACAAGCCAGACAATCATAAATCAACAAGACGGTAGATCTAAACACAGTAATTACGACACATACGCTGTGTTGGGTAATTAAGCTAACCTAGCAACAGGGGGCAAATAAAAGAGACCTGTAATTTGTGGGTTTAGCAGGAAGTAAATTGAGCAAGGCTATGTTACTGTAACTACCCCAGACTCCCCAGTGAGTAATTGCCCTTGAGGTAAACAGGAAAGCACGGCATGGATTAGCACACACTCGTTTCATGAATGTAAAGCATTTGATGCTATCTGAGAGGGGTTTTCCCTGCCTACTTCACTGACCTCTTTAATACAGACGTCAACAGGGTGATGATACGGTTGGAAGTTGCAGCCAATGAGAAAGGCGTACTTACAGTAATTAAGATACTAATCTGCATGATGGAGAGCATGCATAGACATACTGAAATTTAGGTCAAAATCCCTGCACAGAAATAAGCTTTTCGATTGATTTTCTTGCATCATCAGGATGGAGAAACACAGAATCTCTCGATCATGCTGACAGACCGGGGAAATTGGCAGGGGGAGGCAATCTCAGCCTTTCTAATAGACAAACTGACTGCAAGCCAAATTCAGTGCCAGTTTAAAGAACAAGCTCTGTTGTGGATGACATTTACAAAGCATTTCCTTCAGCCATTGACATTCTGTGTCAGACAATGTTTGTAGTACTACTCTTACTATTTATGCAATAGTTTGTGAACCATGCACAGTAAGCACATTTTCATGCATAAAACACCAGGTGATCTACTACATCTACTAAAATGTGCAGACTGCATCTCACAATGCAATGTGCTTGACTTTGACCTTCCTTATCCAACCTGAAGAGTGAATCGAAAGTAATATCAGTTGTGAGTTCTAACTTACTCCAACACTACCAAGGGTTAGGACTTTTTCACTAAAATGTATACAAAATTTGCCATTTTTAAACTATATATATTTTTTTGTTTTACAGGCTATTAATACTTGTTTTCAGTATATCTTAAATTAATCTTAGATTTTTTTTTTCTAGTTTCAAGCATAAACTAACAAATTTATTTATTTATTTATTTAAATTGACCAAATTAATTGTTCTTTAGGAACATTTTAAACAATTTTTTGCACCTAAAATAATCCTGCTGGTTAAGTAGAGATGCCCTGAAAGGGGTTTGAGATATTAATAATCAATCTGATTAAAGTGTTTATTTAATGTTATATGTGCTGTATTTTATATACACTGTAAAAAAAAAATGCTGCTGCAATTAGTTATAACAACTTAACATTTGTTGTGATACCTTAATATCCAAATCCAAACTAAATTTAAGTTAACTAAACTTCTAATTTTATAGCAAGCAGGAACACTTATTTTATAAATCTGAAATAACACATTATTACTTATTCTAGTGTTGAATTTCAAGTTGTGATAACTAATCGCAGCAATCATTTTTATGTTATTTCAGTCTGCATTCATTACATTTCTTGAATACTATAACAATCTTTAATGCAGGATGTGATTATGATTTTTTTGACAATTAAAAAAAAAGAAAAGAAAAAAAAAAGAAATATGTGTTACCATTCAGATGGACAGTTCAGATGTTGATGTTGTAAACAAATAGTCCTTCATGACTGGTTGAAATAACATCCAAATTGTTTTCATTAAACATATTATCCTTGCTCTTGCTGACACAAATTCTCTTGATATCTTCTGTTCTGTTCGCGTCCTTGAAGCCTCTTCCTTTAGCAGAGTTCATGAGTGTTTTCAGAGTCATGAGGAAACTGATACTGTGTGTTTACCACAGACTGTTTTAGTCACTGCCAGAAACTCTTCAGAAAATGAAGCAACAATTCCTTGTTAAGGGATTAAAATGAATTATTTACTATAGTCTCCTGACTCACTGTCTAGACACAGTGTGGATGCAATACGTTATTAATATGTTGCCACTGTTGATCTTACTGTATATATATGGTGACTTTTTAACCTTAGCTCAGCATTGCTTGAGACTGCACTCTCGTTATTCCTCTGATTCTTTCATTTATGCCTTACGTCACAGCAGGGAGACGCTGACTGAAGGCTGGGACAGAGTTCTGGATGGGTTCCAGCCCTTGAGACAGGAGGAGGAGGAAAGGCAAGGAGTGGTACAGCCGCAAAGAGCAACACCGACCACATAACAACTCATTTATATATAAAATATTAAATATGAAGTATGCTACATACTGTATATACAGTGGCATGTATACATTACAGTTTGGAATAATTAAGATTTGTATATTTATTTATTTATTTATTTATTGTGAAATAGTATTACAATTTAAAAGAACAGTTTCTATATGAATACATTTTAAAATAACTGGTGAGTTTAACAAAAACATTAAGCCGCCAAAACGTTTAACGTTGATAATAATAAGAATCATTATTAATAACTGAGCACCAGTAATAACTGATTATAACTGAGTACCACATCAGCATATTATAATGATTTCTGAAGGATCATGTGACACTGAAGACTGGAGTAATGGCAACTGAAAATTCAGCTTTGCATCACAGGAATAAATTACATTTTAAAATATATTAAAATAGAAAACAGTTATTTAAAATTTTAAATATTTCATAATATTATTTTTACTATATTTTGATCAAATAAATGCAGTCTTTGTTGAGCATAACATAACATAACATAACATAACATAACATTAATATAATTTTGATTTAAAAAAACAATAAAGTGCATAATTAAGATAAGACTTGGTTACATCATTACCACATCATTCAGAGCAGTCTGTGATCAGACTTTCTTTATTGCTTTAACTTTCTTTTTACAGTACGTTGACTAAGATCTACTTAGTCTACTTAAACCACCAAAGGCAGAAATTTGCTGAAAAAAATCTAAACCCATGTTGAATGTGCACGAGGCCACACAACGAGGGATTTACCTTTAATTACAGTGTTCGACAAAGATCAATACATATCAGAAGCGTTGTGAAAAAAACCCATCTGGATGGCGTCACATTTCTTAATAAGGAAATGCTACATTTTCAGACATGTCAATTTGGCCATGATTTGATCACGGGATCCACTTAATATTGCATTTATTTCACTTCTGACTATCAGGTGAGCTTGTCTCGTAACGCAGGGCATTTGCTCAAGATCAACGGAGGGGAGCTCATGCTGCGCTGACGCCTCGGGTGTCTGCGGGTCACAGAAACATTAATTAGTGCACAGACCGCCAAGAAACCTCTATAAA